GACTGCATACTGTATTTCGCTGAGTAGTAGACAAACAGAATACTATCTTATGGCATAAAGCTGAGTTGATGGAATGCTGGGGGATGATCCGAGCAGAAATGGTGGTAAAAATTTTTCTGTCTCACTCAGTCTACCGAACGTTCGCTCCCACTTCTCAGTGACGTAGTTGTGGAAGCTCTCAAGCAGTACTACTTACATTCACTTTATCAACAAATAATAAACTTAGTCGACAGCACACCGGCTGCAGGTGCGAAGATGCGTTTTTTGCACAGTTCTCCCGCACGTTTTTGTTACTAGTGGTAATATTTTTTCCAGCAGATGCTTCTAGCTAAGAGAACTGACAGTAGTCGCCATGACTGTTAGAAATTATTCGCAATTCATGTTCAAGAAATTCAGCACTAACTTCGGTTGCGGGGTTACGTCATATTTCACGTGTTCGTACGTAGGATGCACGCGAGGCATGAAAGTCTTTTTTACGTCCACTTGGTCAAATGCCGCTGTCGATTATGTTCAGAAAATTCCATTCCTCCAGATGCTTCAAATCCGAAATTACAAAAGTGCCTGCGTGAAATTTTCACGTGTCCGTACTTGAGATACAGAGAGCCCGAAAAGCTCAATTTATTTCCACGGGCACAACAGTGGGCCACAAGCAACGCTGCAAAATTACAGCTCAACTTCCTGGTCAGCTTAAATCTGGCACAACACCAGTTTAAACTTTGATGTGTGAGAACATGAGACCTAAGGGTGCGTCAAGATTTGAAACCTTTGGATTAGACATGGTCAAGGAACATCCCTGTGAAGTTTCAGCTTTCCAGCTTGCGCCGTTCACAAAAATGCTTTCCGGCCAAAAAAACATTCACGTGCCATGTGGACATGAACAACCATTCTGAGGCTAGGGAACCCAATGTATGTGCAAATTAAGTTGTCAAAGTTTCAGCCTTGTAGCTTTTGTAGATCTCGAGATGAAAACTCGGTAGGGATGCACAAACAAACATATATATATACAGACAGCCCTCGACAGTATGCGTTTTTGCATTGCACAGATGTAAAAAAACGCACAAAAATCAGAACAGTCATGAAAGATACACTGTACCTTAAGAACTGTGAACCTGTCTACCAAATTCAATCCAAATGAGCGCGTTAGAATAAGAGGTGTGCTGCTTGTCAAATAAAGGCGATTAAGCCAATCACAAGCCACTTGCACAGGCACATTCCGTCGCTGCCCTTGCGTGTCATAATCAGCCAAATAAGTTAATGAGCCTTAAAAGAATAGCAAATCAAATCTCCTGTAGTACGTAGCAGGAAATGCAGAGCAAGTTGAAAAGGCCAAAATACCTAGATCGCCACCATCTGTCACACACTGTTCGAGACACTGCAACAGGATTACCACATCATTCCAACCCAAGTTCACTCCCTGGCCAGCCAAAGGATGTGTGCGGTGCGCCGCATCACTGAAAAATACTTAATACTCTGAATAAAATGGATGTCCTCAGCTCGATCCACCTTCAAATCATTTTTTATTATGCATTTTTGCTGTGCAGCGCTACAGCGCTGCTACAGACAACACATTGTCGAGAGGCTGTCTGTATGTGTATGTTCGGAAGCGAGTGCATTTTGTCATCCCCTCGGTCTCATCAATAAAAACAAGAAGCAAACTGCAATACGATGGACAGATTGCTTCTATTACTTCTTGAACTGCATAGAAAGAAACCCAATCAAAGCAGCTCGCGTGGCAACGTAGCTGTGAGTGTGTCCAAAACCCAATGGAAATGCAGCACGAGTATTTTCAAATACAGATAAAACAGTCGGCAGTATGACTTGTCGTTTCTCTGTCACAGAAAATATTTCACGTAACGCACGTCCCGTGAATGACAGAAATTGATTCGTTATAGAATTTTGATGAATATCCGTAGTCTGAAAATTTTTAAAATAAAAACGGGTCACTGAGTAGTACCTTCACTTCTTGCTCATCTTCAAACAACTGGCCAGCACACT